AAATCTTGATGTGGCTTTTGAAGAAACAAAACCCGATTTCATTTTGTATAATGCTGGTAATTAATACTTTTATTGGACCATTTTTTGTTTTTGTTATTTTTTATTATTGTATAAATTTTTTTTTTGTGAAAATAAGGTTTTCAAAAAATTTATATATTTGGTGATTTGAAGTGTGAGCGGAGTGATGTTTGTTGGAGAATTTAATGATTTTAACTTAATTATTGAGGAGTTTCAATTTATTACATATAACCCAAGATTGTACCTAATTTTTTTTTTTTTTTGTTAGGTACTGATATTTTATGTGGAGACCCATTAGGAATGCTTAGTGTGAGTGATAAGGTAAAAAAGTTGGTAAAAACTTGCTGAGTTTATAAACTTTCTATTTTGAGATTTTCTTTGCATTGGTTGAATGATAACGGAGATAACACAAAATTTGCTATATACAAATTTGAAATTTTGAAAATTGTGAAAAGAAAAGAAAAACTTTATAAAAGTTTTTTTTTATATAAAAGATTTTGTAAAAGACCTAGCTCAGATGATTATCTAACATTATTAGGTTACCCAAAAAATTATTATTAGGTTACCTAAAAAATTATTAATAGGTTACCCAAAAAATTATTATTAGGTTACCCAAAAAAGATTAAAATAATGAAAAAAAAAATTTAATTTTTTTTTTGCTGCCCTATAAGTCTTACATATGTGTCTTAATGTAGTTATAAATTTTATCCCAGTGTTTTAGTTTTTTTGGCTAATTTTTACCTAGATTGCACCCATCATTCTTGTGGATATGGAATCCAAGCATTCTGGATCAAAAAATATGTATATATAATATATATATATATATATATATATATATATATATATATATATATATATATATATATATATATATATATATATATATATATATATATATATATATATACATATATATATATATACATATATACATGGCCTATTTAAAGTTTATGGCCTAATATTCTACATATTAGCCGAAAAAATAAAAAGTTTGTTTAGAATGCGGTTTTGAATAAGAGCGAAATGGATAAAATTTTTAAATAGACTAAACTGGGTACCAACTAAGTCAGCAGTTATTTGTGCAAAGGATTTTCAGGAAAAATATTTAAAACACGGAGAACAAGAAAAAAGATTTTGTTTAATAAAGATGTTAAAACCAGTACCAACTATACATCCAAGTGTTATATCAAAATCATCTATACCAACAATAAATTTGGAAAGAAAATCTCCAACAAAACGAATATACTAGAATGATCAAAGAAACGAATTTTTAAAAAATGATTTAATAAAAAATTTAAACTGTATTGCTGATATTCCGTGTCCAAGTGGCTACCAAAACATAATGTATATAATAAGTGGCTATAATATGTATATAATAAGTGGCTACCAAATGCGAAAACATAATGATTTTTATTGTATTTTACAAAATGATATTTAATGAGTTTTCAATACCAGAAGTTATTGAGTGTATAAGAGTTGATGAGAGTTTACACGTTAAACTATTTTGTAAGGGTTGTTTAGTGCCATTACCAAAATGGTTTTGTATTGGTCATAATTGTACATTAACTTGTAAAAGTACGTTTGAAAACTTTCCTGTTTATTTATAAAGTCAAGCAGAAAAAAATTTCTCAGTTTTTGAAAAAAAAATAAAAAAAAACCAATGTACTCTGGTAACCTAATTCGATATGCATTATAATTGCGCTATACATCTATGCAATCCTACAAAGTACTTTTTGAAGAATTTCAATTACCATCACTTTCTTTAATAAATAAAGTTTGTTATGGTAACATTGATGCACTAAAAGCTGCAAAATTATTACTTGAAAATGGTAAAATGTCACAAGATGTCTGCATAATGTTTGATGAAATGTATATACAGAAATGTGCAGAAAATTCTAGTGGAACTATAACAGGGGTAAACAGTGTTGGTGAACTTCACAAAATTATTGTTTGTTTTATGATAAACAGTTTTAAGGAAAACATCCCATACATTATAAAGGCTATTCCAATAGTAAGAATTGACAGTGATTGGTTAAAAAATGAAATTCTTGAAACTTTGAATCGTTTGCATAATAGTGGGTTTGTTGTGCTAGCTATTGTGTGCAATAATCATGCAAGCAATGTTTCTGCATTTCAATGTTTCTGCATTTCAATGTTTCTGCATTTGGATTTTGATTCTCAATTTTATGCAGAAAAGTTTATTTATTCTACGATGTTCATTTAATTAAAAATGGGAGAAACAACTTGCTAAATCGAAAGAGGTTTTTGTTTCCTCCATTTAAGTTTTGAAGATGAGGTAACAGTTAAAGGTAGAGAAGTATGTTGGAGATTGTTTCATGATGTCCATGAAAAAATTCTTGCTTTAGATGCAGGCTTGAAGCTCCGAAACTAACAAATAAAGTGCTACACCCAGGACAATATAAACAAAATTTTCAAGTAGCTCTTGACTTATTTAATGAAAGCACAATAGCTGGTTTGAAATCATACATTTCCTTTACGTGAGGATGCTGTCGGCTTTTTAGGATTATTTAATAAATGGTGGATTATTACTAATAGTAAAACACAGTTTTCAAAAAACCTTAAGCTGTAAGAAATCTGTTATGTCTGCTCAAACTAGTTCAGCATTTTAACAAACACTTAATTGTCATGTTTCTTTAATTGAAGATCTTTTAAATGATGGTTATAAATTTGTCATCACTGCAAGAAATCAAAGTGATTAAATAGAGAGAAGGTTTGGACAGTACCGACAGATGAGCGGCGGGAGATTTTTAGTGAGCTTAAAAGATGTTTTGTGCTCTAAGTGAATTATCAAATTTAAAAGTTTAGTTAAAAGCATTGATATCTGTAGTAGTGATGTTAAACAGACTAATGATCAGAAAAATATTTTAAAAGACCTTTTGAAAAAACTTCAGTGCACTTCTTTAAATAATGTGTCTTTGTCAGAAGATAGCAGAGAAGTTGCCATTCATATTGCAGGTTATATTGCAAAGAAAATTTTTAAAAGATTAGGTAAATGCTGTCATAAACTAATGATTGAAGTAGGTAAGTATGATTCTCTAGATTAACAATAAATTAAAATTTTATCAAGGAGACGATTGACTATACCATCTACCAATCTGGGTAATTATACCTGTGATGCTTTTGCAATTTTAGACTACTTTTGATGTAATTAACCACTGCTCAGTTTATTTTGAAAAATTTTTATTCAAAGAAAATATCCTTTGTTCTGATCACATTAAACTTGGGATAAATCTCAAAAACAAAACAATCAGTAATATATTCTTCAATAATAAATAAAAAATAATTACTGATGGAAGTTATATGGACAACATAGTTGGTTTTAAAAAAAGGCAACGAAAAAAGCAAGGTTGAACATAATTATAAAAATTAACAAGACATGTTTTTAAAAAAATTTAATATAAACAATATTTCTTTTTTTTTCTGAGAAAATAAAATTAATTAAAAAAAAAATTCTTTAAACGAAATTTTTTTGTTGTTAAATAGAAAGTATTTTTAAAGTATTTTAAGAAATAAATACATTTTGTTTGTTTATTTTCTTTGATTTTTGTAGCGAAATAATTCTTTTTTAATGGCCTTCTATTTTTTTTACAACATGTGGAGTATTTGTAAACTTTAAGTAGGCCGTGAGATATATATATATATATATATATATATATATATATATATATATATATATATATATATATATATACTTTATATTTATATATATATATATATACTTTATATTTATATATATATATATATATATATATATATATATATATATATATATATATATATATATATATATATATATATATATATATATATATATATATATATATATATATATATATATATATATATATATATATACTTTATATTTATATATATACATATACTTTATATATATATATATATATATATATTATATATATATATATATATATATATATACTTTATATTTATATATATATATACATATACTTTATATATATATATATATATATATATATATATATATATATATATATATATATATATATATATATATATATATATATACTTTATATATATACTTTATATATATACTTTATATATATATATATATATATATATATATATATATATATATATATATATATATATATACGTTTTGTGCAATATTTTTAATTTACCATTTAAATGTCGTTCTTGTCAAAAGAATGTTGTAAAAATTGTAAATATGTGCTGCAATTTTTTCTGTTAATTGCAGAATGATGTTAGAATTACTTTTTTTCTAATTCCAGGGTGTTATAAAACGCGATGAAATTGTATTTAAATCAGCAAGAGATAGGAACATTCCCATTGCTATGGTTACCTCTGGTGGCTATCAGGTTAGAATTTTTTTTTATTATTAAATTATGTGCAAAAAATTAGTTGTAAATTACAGAACAAGAGAAATAAAATGTTTCACATAGAGAGAAACAGCTCGAGTGATTGCCGATTCAATAATAAATCTGAAGCGTAATAATGTTATTGACTTTTCTCGTAAAGAGCAAATACTTCAAAACTAGTTTCTTATTGCAAAAGTTTAAGGTATTATATGTTTTTTATATATAAAACATTTTTTTTAAGCTGTAATTGTTTAAGCTATAATATAGTTATTTTTTATAATATATTTCTTTTAATAATGAAACGCTTCAGAAACTTAAACAAATATTTTGAAAAAGTTTGAGACGGGCTTTTCACGATTTTGACGTGTTTTTTTTTAAACTTGTTCTTTATTTTTATGTTTTTATACATTATCTTTTTATACATAGTTTTATGTGAATCCAAACTCAAAGCTTTTTCAACTTTGTTCTTTTGTAACAATTGAACTTAATTCGAATAAGAAGTTTATATTGTGTTTATAATGAATGTAGTGTATTTATAGTGGTTGCATTATTATTGATAAATATAATTAAAGTATTAATAAATACAATTAAAAATTCTATTTAACGCCATCTTTACTATTTACATTTTCGAACAAAATTAAAGATTGCCGCATTTACGCAAGATAAATAAGTGTTAAAATTTTACAGGATTAGATCAAAAAGTAAAGATTGTCAAACAAGCGTAAAACACGTATTAACACAACTTAAAAATAAGTTTGGTGAAAGTTCTCTATTTTAAATACAGAACCACTCAGAACCACAACAGATTATTAAAGATCTTTATTTTCAAAACAATATCCGAGTTTTCAACTGTAAAAAAATAATGATGATAACCAATAAATAACAAAAAGTAACCAGTAAATAACAAAAAAGTTATTTATTGGTTACCTTTAATGTTCACTTATTGCGTAGTAAAAAAGTCTGAGTAGTTTTTAAATTATTTAAACTTGTAAACTAAAATAAATGTAAAGTAGCAACAGAAACAAACACTTCTAAAAAACTGGGAAGACCTTTTGACATCAGTTTCTGCTCTTTTGATCATTAGATAAAAATAAAAGAAATTTTTTTTTTGAATAAAATAAATATTATTAGCATTATAAAGTACATTACTATGAATTTCATTATTTAATATTTTCTGTTCTGATACTGATATTTAAGGCACTACTAATATTAGTTTTATACAAGTAGTACGATAAAATACATTAGGGGCCAACCATATATTACTTATGCAAAAATCTCTAGATTTGGACCCCCTCCCCACTGTTGCACCTTGTACATTTTTACACCCCACCCCCCATGCGTACGTATCCAAGGAGGTCTTACCCCCGCCCACAGTGGTCTTACCTTCCCACTCCTGTCCCTCATCCCTTAATCAAATAGGTTTTATATTCTCGGTGGTCAAATCCCCCTTCCCCCAATTCCATTCGCGCACGCGAACGTGATCACTTTTTTTTTTTGCGTTGTTCAACCTTTATAACATTAACAGTCCATGAACGTGAGCGGCGTTCACCTTTTATTAATGGGCAAGTGAACGTAAACTGTCACCTTAATTTTTTGCGTTTGCGTACATACATTTGTTGGACCCTTCTTCTCCCTCCTTTCCCTCCCCCCTCTCACCCTTCCCATAGGCACTCATACTCAAATCACTCAATTTGGGAAACCCCTCCCCCTCGGTGCTTACGTAATATATAGATAGCCCCTTATTATAAATTTCATATGCTCGATATTATCATTTAATATTTAGACTTCTGTAGAAGACTATATTTAAAAAATAAAGTAAGATTTTGTCTAAAAAGATCATTTTAACTTGGTTTAATTGATCATGAATGGTCTAGAAACCTTTTATATTTTAAACCATCGCTGCAACAAGAAATTAGTTACAAATTTCCAAAAATGGTATTATTAGAATCTGGTGAAGAATCTGTTAGCTATAGTGTGGTAACTCACTAACGCTTGAGTTTCGAATTAAAAAGTATAAAATCTAGTTTCTGCTTTGACAGAATATATTAAATTTGATACATTCCCTTCAATTTCAATAAGTTGAATTTTGTGATTTTTTAATTTAAAATTTATTTTTTGAACCCAAAATTTTTTTATATTAAAACTTAATAATTTTTCACATAGATATGGACCCCAAAAAAAATCATTAGGAATATACAATCTTTGGAAGCTTCCAAAGTATGCAAAGATTTTGAAGCTAGGAAATGCTCTTACGATTGATCCTTCAGAGCCTTTTGATGGAATAGCAATCACGTCAACTTTAGTTAATGAGAAATCCAAAATAAGCAGCCATAAAAGATGGTAAAAGTTTTATCGGACTTGAAATCTTTTTAAAATAACACAGAACTTATTTGCTTTGGTGTTGATGGTAAAATTGGTAATGAAACTTTAGTTTTAAAAGAAACAAAAATAGAAGACGGTGAAGTTGTACTAAGAGATCTACAGAAAAAGAACTTCAAATGACTGTGAGTAAAGAACTTCTGACAACAGGAACAAAAAAAGCTCAGAGACTCTATGAAGTCCCTGAAGAGTATGACAATACTTTAACAAACATATGCCAAAAGTAGAAATAATTTTTGAGAAAAAACGTGGACAAAAACTTCACACTATAGGCTGTAATCTTCATCAGAATTAGCTTCCCTTAAGATCTTTGTTTAAAACAATTGATGGAGCAACTAAGTCCTCAAACCATTTTGTATGACCATTAGAAAAAATGGGTAATATTAAAAATGAATTTCATTTAATTGTTAGTTTTAATGTTATTAAATTTTCAATTACTTATAATGATTTAGAAACTTTTTTTTTGCGTCTGAATTAAGTAGTGACTTTTATAAGAATGTTGTATGGAATTTGCCGCAGGAAATATGAGTGTTTAATACTCAGTTTGAGAAATTAGTTGCCTTAATTATTCTCATTGGTTAAAAATTGCAAAAATAATGATGTCACAAAATGTGCTAGTATCAGCACAAGATTCTGATAACATTTTAATATTGCTCAAGTCTATGATTCTACATGGTTCCGCTATAAAAAGAGCAATAGTTGCATGAAGCTGTATCAACTGTTTATTCTATAATAAATCAAATCAAAAGTTCTAAATAACCTAATAAGTAAAATTACAGAAATTCAAAATAATATTCGTATATGGTAAAATAATGTTCATATGTTAAAAATGATATTTGTATATGAGCTCATAAATATTTTTGATCAAGACAAATGAACCAGCAACAATAGAAAATTTTACTGATGAGGAGATAAAAAAGTCTAACCTCACAGATATTTGTTCCCATTCACAAAGTGTTGAAATGTTTGTACAACTTGTTTCCAAGGTTGTATTATTTTTGGAAAAGAAGGTTGTCATAAACATGTTGCAAAAATTCTAACACAAAGCATCGGATGATTTTTATATCTAAATGTTTTTACAATCATATTCTTAATTAGTTTGAAAACTAATTTAGTGCTACTTGTAGTTATTATATAAAGTAAACGAAAATTTTAATAAACTTTGAGTTATTTGTTGCATAACGTTGTAAAAATAACCATAAGAAATTAAATTAAAATAAATGATTTTCGAACCTTCTATTAATCAAACTACAAAACCACAAATGTTACTTCAAAGATTTTTATTTGGCGTTTTAAAATTATGTTTTGTACTCCAAAATAGTTAAGCTTTTTATTTAAAAAATATTCTATTATTTTAACCCCTAAACTATAACGCTGTAGTCAAGGACCATTTTAAATGAAATATTTCCGTCTTGTATAAAGTCCGGACCATATTTTGCAAAAGAATATTTTAAAAATAATATCTAAGTTAAATTTTATTTGCGAATATTTTATTTCGTATTTATTTTTATTTTCTTTATTTGACTATGGAGCCAGTTCTTCCTCTCATTTATATTTTTTATATAATTTTTTTAGAAATAAAATAATAATTAATAAAAGAAATAATTGTAATACAATGTCGCAGTAAATGTTTTGTGAAAAGCCTTTGGACACTTCTTCAAAACTAAAACCACTCATAAAGGATTTGTTTAATTTAATAAAACTTTTCAGGATGTATTTTTGGATAGTTTAGAAAATATCTCTATAATGCCAAACACTAGGTTCCAAAAAAAGTTGTAATTTGACCTGCCCTTATATGCAGGGTAAACATTCGACTTAATCTTCCATAAAAAATATATTACTTTACCGAGACATATGCGCATCATACTTCTATTGTATTTATTTATAATATAACAGTCATCGAACTAACAATTTTAAATCCGACGTCTGGGAAATTAAATAAATTGAGCAGCAAATGTAAATACCACTGATCTCAAAATATAACTGGATAGCGGATTCTATTGTTTTTTCCGAAAAAAGTTGAAGCCAAAATTGGCCTCCCAAGATGGCGGCGATTTTAGTTCCTAGCGGTGAAACCGATATACATTATATTTTACTTTATCAAAATACAAAAAAAAAAAAAAAAAAAATTAAACAAGATTGTAAACTTGTAAGAAACAGAAGAAAATAATGAATTTTATAATTAATAATAAAAAAAAAGGAATTTTTTATAATCTTTTTTTATAATTGAACTTATTATTAAATGGCATTAGTAAAATTTACAATTTTAGTTTTATGTATAATTTATGTACCTTTTAGTTCTTAGCTACCCAATGCTGTATGCTAGAAAGTTAATAACGTAACAGCATGTTAAGCAGCAATCATGTCTACCTATAATTTTATATTCTCTATTTTTTGTAACAAGATACCAATTTGTAAAAATGCTGCATGAACTATTAATTGAGAATTGTGAGTACACAGAAACTCAAGGGTTTCTTCTAGAATTATATTATACTTGAATGCTATTATTGCATAAATTGTCCGTTATACTGTTAAAAAAACAGGTCTGAATTATGTTATTTATAACAAATTAAAAAAAAAATAAAAAGTTAATGATCATTTCTTACTTAATTACTCAATACAATTAAGGATGCAAATGTATGTAAAAATACATTTGTTTAAAAAAAATTTATTAATTAAATCTTTAATATAAAAATAATCAAAACATCTCTTTGAAATATCTTCATAACTAAAGTTATATATACTGTTTACCTGCTGTTAAGTATTATGGTTATATTCTATAGTTTGCTGACTTTTATGTTAATTAAATGCATGTTGCAGTTAAACAATTTTATAAATTTTTATAATATTGTCTGGTCTAAAAACTGGTTTTATTGGATAGTTGGTAGCTATTAAATCTGTTTAAGATATATTTCTAAACTGAGTGGGAAAAGTAGGTTAAAATTATAAATAAAATTATTATAAACCATAAAATTATTAAATATATAAGCTTTTTATTAGAGCTGTGCGGGAATGTTTAACAACAATATCAATTGCCAACAATTCACAGCCACATATATATCTTGATGTCACATATATATGATCTTGAGCGTTCAATATTAAAATGGAATAATCACAAATATCTGCATAATCTTGGTAATATTGACCACGATTATGCAGATATTCAAATCGCAGCATTCTATTGGAATTCAAAAAATTTCATAGATTGCTGGATAAACAGCTAAA